AAGAGCGTCTGAGGGACATGTCCTTGTCAGCAATCAGAGAATACTACAGGTAATTTTTTTCTCTCTCGTACTTTTATACACTTGGTCAAGGTTGTCAAACTTGAGAAATTACGTCAACTCAGGGGAGTTTTGTAAACTCAACTCTGAAACTCGAATCGTAAACTTGTAAGAGGTTACTTAATTTAAAAAATATTAAAATGCCTTTAAATAATATAATAACTAACATTTCAACTCCATATTAAAGCAAAATAGAAAATTAGAATAATAAATTAGCAAAGTTTAGTGCACATTTCTACTTAATTAGATCAAATTATACCAAATCATGCATAAATTCATACAAAACAGTGGAGGCAGCTGCAGTTGTATTGTGATATGTAACATGATATCTAACAAATATTAACTATTGTATAAGTACATTTCTAGGTTGAGATAAAATAAATGGGACGTGAAGCTTTAATAGAAAGAGAACTCTAAAATATCTAACAAATATGAAGCTTTAAAGAAAGAAAATTAGAACTTGCTATTTGTGTATAGAGAAGAAGGGAAATTGCTTCAACAAATCTGTAGCAAACAATCGGTACCCGACACCACAGGAACCCTGACACCTCAACAACCTTCAACATAGCCGACCATGAGAACGGAGAACCCCATTGAAGATGAGAACCCTAAGACCAACATCAACGAGAACGGAGAACCCCAATGCTGACGAGAATCCCGATGCCAACAAGTGCACAGCCATGTCGTGCACAAGCACACACAGATTGCACTTGATATGGGCTTATTACCTTATTTTGGGTTCAGATTGTGGGAGAGAACCCCAGTCCTCTTTTCTGCGGGAGAAAAGGAATCCACTCACAAAACATGTTTTGGTGTCATTTTGGGGCCTTTTTTAGCCACCGGTGTACACGTTGAATCATGTCTAAAATCGCGATCGAGTCCGATTCTACTTGAGCTTGTTCATGATTTTACTTGAAAACGAGTTTGCTACCAAGTTAAAGATGTGAGTGCTTCTGTAAACTCGGTAGTTTTTATGAGTTAACACTCGAGTTTGACAACCATGCTCCTGGTTACAGGTCTTATGGCCAATAATACTCTTTCTAGGAAGCTTGAACCTACACCTTACTACACATAATCCTTTAAGTAAAATCCTCTGTAAATTAGATATGTTCAAGTTTTCCGTGTTTGCCTGCAGCTGAAATTGTGAAACACTCCCCACTTGACAGTCCCACAACTAGGGAGGGGTTTTTCTGCTGTTTTTTTATTTATAATTATTAATCATATATTATACTATTTTAAAACTACAAAATACTTTAATATTTATGAATATTTAAAAAATGTACAAAAATATTAATGCATAATTATATATAATTATATAATAGAGACAAATATATAACTCATAAAAAATAAAATTTAATAATTGAATAGAATGAATATAATGATAAGATGCATGTGTATATATATATATCCTGCCAGTGTTTTTGGGGGTGGCTACTCCAAGCTACTATCCACTATTGGCTATGCTTTAGAGTATTTGTGCATTGCACTCTATAAGGCTTTGACTAATTAGTATGCGTTCAGTGTGCTTAACTTATCTATTTAAGTAAATGTAAACTGTTTTAATTTAGAGAAAGAAGACCTTAACTTATCTATTTAAGTAAATGTAAACTGTTTTAATTTAGGAAAAAATTTACATTTCTAGTTTTTTGTAACCTCAGTTTATGCAAATATAGCTCATGATTAGATTAATATCTATTCGTTCATTGTTTTTCATATCTTTTTAAATAGATTCATTCATATCCAGAACTCTAATTTTGAAGCTGGGAAACAAAGTGCAACACACATCAATAATGTAATGGGGGTAATGGTATTTTTAGTGATCAGGCTCTGGGATTCAGGATTTTTTTTGTGACTGCTGTGATCGAGTTTTAAATGTTATGCTCATAGTATTCTATTAGCTATGTTAACTTCACAATGTTTCCTAGTTATCTTGCCATTTTTAATCACCTGACTGAAATTTGTGCAATTTTTAGTGCTAGAGATGAGAACGAACTTGCTATGTGTGTCAAAGATTTGAACTCTCCAAGCTTCCACCCTTCCATGGTTTCTCTCTGGGTAACAGATTCATTTGAGAGAAAGGACACAGAGAGAGATCTTTTGGCGAAACTGCTTGTCAACCTAGTGAAATCTCAGGATGGCTCCTTGAGTCAATCCCAGATCATCAAAGGGTGAGATTTTATTTAACCATATAGTGGACTAGTAGAGACAATTCAATTATTCTGAAGACACTTGTCTTGATATTCATTCATTCCTTTTTTATTTCCTAGGTTTGAATCTGTTCTGAGTACATTGGAGGATGCTGTTAATGATGCTCCTAGAGCACCAGAGTTTCTCGGCCGAATTTTTGCCAAAGCCATTACTGAGAGTGTAGTTACTTTGAGTGAGATTGGTGGATTAATACATGATGGTGGAGAGGAGCCAGGCAGTCTCTTAGAAGTTGGACTTGCAGCAGATGTTCTTGGAAGCACGTTGGAGGCAATTCAATCTGAGAAGGGGGATGCGTTTCTGAAAGAGATCCGTTCAAACTCTAACTTGCGTTTGGAAACTTTCCGGCCACCTAATTCCAAATCATCAAGGAAGTTGGAAAAATTTATTTAGAAGGTAGTGATGCTCATTGTAAGTTTTTTTTTGTGTAGAGGGCAAAAATTATCTGGCTAGTGCTTTTTTGGGGGTACTCACTTTGCAGAGGATGGTTTTCTCCGTGAGATGGGTTGGTAGAGTTTTTTCTTTTCTATATATGGGATTTTCGTTGTCTTGATATTGTTTTTCCAACATCTTCACTGGAATTGTAAAAGGTTCAATTGAGCATCAGAAATTTTAGGCGTAGTTATTATGCCTGCTTGATGACCTTTACATATTTCTTTGTAGATAGATATAAAGAGGTTCAATGAGCATCAGAACATTATATTCATATCGTTCTTATTTGTATTTCATTAATGTTTGGAAAATAAAGTTCTATAATTTTACTTGCTAATTGGTTTGATGAGGCTAAGAGAATGAAAAATTATTAAATAGTTATGATCGAAGTCGGTTTAATGCGATCAGCTTTTAATATTTATCCCCAACTGTCACTTTACTCCATTCTAATTAGATTTTTTTGAAATGGTCCTCGTATAATTTTTAATGCATTTTCTTGACTATCACAAAACATCGAAAAGAATAGACGGGATCCTCAAACTTGCTCGATATCATTATTTGAAGATGGGTTCTAAGATAATTTCATCATTCTCTTGAATATTAATATCCATGTTAGATATGGACAATGTACCTTAAATTTTTTCTATTTAATTTTTCATGTTTCATAATTGTTTTGGAAATAGAAATCCTTGAAAACTACATCTTATGGTGATTCTCGAGAAGTTTATCTAATAAACTTAGTAGGAATCCATTGAGAAGAAATCACCGTATGTTTGAAAGATACAACTATTACCTTCTAAATAATCACATTCAGAATATGAAACCAAACGCACTAATGTGTTTAGGATGTCAATCCAATTTTTCGAAACCATTTTCATGAATTTCATCGTTTCTAATGTGGAGGCATCAAAACGCTGTGCTTATCAACTTTTCTTCCTTAACGGGCTCGACAAGCCTCCAACTTGCATTTTATTTGGACCAAAATTTATGGAATGCAGGATGTACCAGTAGTCGCCACCCGAGATAAAAATTCAGTTAATTTAAATCTATGCCATCATTTTCAATTTTGTAAACTAGATATGTTTCAACTAGAAAGAGATTTAAATGTGTGCTCGTTATACTTTAAATAGATTTATTTAAGGATTTGATTCCCTTACGAGAAGGAAACAAGTATGCGGATTATCATATGCTAAACTTGATCCAAATGCCAAGATTTTGGTTATCGATTTTGCAAAAGCCTCCTTTAGATATTCACGGGTTGCTGCTGGCTCATGCTATGAAGCAGAATTACCAAGTATTAGAAGAGAGAAGTGAGAGGAATTCGTTGAAAATTTGAAAATTAATATTTACATAGAAAAGGGATATATAATATCAAATTCCAAGACCAACAAACTAATGTCTAAAAAAACTGAACAGAAATAACTAATTATATTTAATTCTAATGCCCCCTCTCAAGTTGGAGAATAGATATTTATGATTTCCAACTTGCTGATGAAACGATCTAAGGCAAAAGCAGGAAGGGTCTTTGTGAATATCTATTTGATGCTCGATTTTGACATGAATGAGAGTGAAGAGTTCTCTTTGAAAAAGTTCACGAATAAAGTGATAATCAATATCTATATGTTTGGACCTCTCATGGTGAGAGACATTGAAAGTAAGGTGAATGACAAATTTATTATCACAAGTGTAACACCCCAGTTTTTAAAAAGATTATTATTATTATTATTATTATTATTATTATTATTATTATTATATTATTATATGGTATTTGGTCATACTTATTTTAATAATTACAGAGAAATATTATTTTGTACGTTTTGAATAATTATTGTTTTAGATAATTATTTTTTCGTATTAAATAAGTATTTTTATTAGCATTTTTAAATAAATATTTATATGTTTTAAGAGAAGGTTGATTTTATATGATATTTTGCTATTGAAATTATATTATTATATTTTGGGTCAGAAACATATTATTATTATAGAGGAAAAATATTTTATAATATACATGTATTTATTTTATTTAATTATTTGAGGAAAAAAAAGAAGTGGGTTAGAAGAGAAGGAAAATGAGTTGGATTGACCCAGCCCAATGGATTAATTTTAAGAAAGGAGTCAGGTAGCGTTAACCCCATCTGCCTCATTTGCGTTTTAAAGGGTTAGGAAAAAAAACAAGAGAAACAAAGAGCTAAGAGTACTCAGGAACGATCTTAGATCACACCAAGACCATTCTCTTCTGCTCATCCAGGTAAGGGGGAGTGAGAAACCTCGCTCGGGATGTAGGAATAATTGTTGAATAGTCGGATTGACCCCCAATCCCTTGCGTGATGATGCATGCTTCTAGGAACATGCAAAGTATGAATATTTCTATTTTGGCTTCTGATTGCTTTGTTGTGTTCCTTATTGGATGTGATGCATGAGTATGTGGTTAATTTTGAAAATGAATATATTTTTATGTGAATTAGAGTGCTCTGTGGGTTTACGGGAAACTCTATGAGAAAACAGGCAAAATATGAATATTTTCTGTTTTGCCTTCTAATTGTTCTGTTGTACTCCTTGTTGGATGTGATGTATGAGTATGTGACTAATTTTGAAAATGAATATGTTTTGATATGAATTAGAGTGCTATGTGGTTCTTGAGAGAACCCAATGAGAAACAAGCAAAATATGAACGTTTTCTGTTTTGATTTCTGATTCTTCTGTTGTGTTCCTCGTTGAATAAGATGTATAAATATGTGATTAATTTTGAAAACAGATAAGTTTTGATATGAATTAGAGTGCTCTGTGAGTCTTTTTGGAAAACCCTATGAGGTAAAATTAGGAATATGATCTATGGATGATTTGAGGCATTATATGTAATGTTGATGATAGCTTCATGTTTTAGATAAGTTCTTGGTATGATTTATGTATTATTTTGATGTATATGATGACAAGAAGTTTCTTTATGATCTGTGATATGACATTTTGACATAATGTGACATGAGATATGATGAGATGTGAAATGTGAAGTGAAATGTGAAGTGTTGAGTCAATGTAATTGTGAATGTGAGACATGCATCATATGCATATATGACTTATTCCAGGTGTGCTGCTTAGGCCGCATACTAGTGATGTAACAAGCCATGTGATGAAATGACTTATGCTAGGTGTGTTGCTTAGGCCGCATACCAGTGATGTAATAGGCTATGTGATGAAACGACTTATTCTAGGTGTGCCGCTTAGGCCGCATACCAGTGATGTAACAAGCTATTCTAGGTGTACCTTGGGTCACCAGTGATGAAAAATGTGCAACTTCCATATGACGCCACATGCATGCATTTATGAGTCGAGTCCATGACATCATTACATGATAAATGAGTGTGCAAGTGATATTGATTGTGTATGCGTATTGTTTACATGTGATTTGTACTTGTGACTCATGTTTATTGTGTGTGTGTGTGCTATCTAACCTTTATTTCTGTACTTGAACCTGAGTGAGATGTTTCTTACTCCCTTGTTATTTGTCTGTGTTTAAATTGTTTTGCAAGTGATCATCAGCATGAGGATGTTGGTGGTGAGACTTAGGCTTCAGTTGGGCATGCTCTGATAGGATATGTGACATCGGGGCATAACTAGATTTAGTTTAGAATTCCTTATTGTTATTTTGTTTTGGAAAAGATTCAGTTTTCTATAAATTCTGCATTTGACTATATTTGAAGTATACGAATGTGAATCCTCTACTCTTATGTTAATGGATTTATTGTTTTAATTATAAAGATTTTATTTAAACCAAGAATATGTTTCATATATATGTCAGGGTAGAGGGTGTCACAACAAGAGAGCATAGTTATGTTAACTGGAATTTCAAAATATTTGAGTAATCATTGAAACCAGACCACTTCACTGGCCATTAAGGATAAGGCATGATATTCTGATTCTGTCGAAGACCTGGACACAATACTTTGACAGACTTCCAAGAAATTAGAGAATCATCGAGGAAAACACAAAAAATAGTGGTTGATTTCCTAGTGTTTAAACAACTGTCCTAGTTTGCATTAGTATATGTCGAAAGATGATATTTGTTATTGTTAAGGAAAAAAATACTTTGGCCTCGAGAGGACTTCAAGTACTGTAACAGGTGATGGATGGTGGTTAATGTGTTGTCAATGGATTCTTCATGTACTGATTTAGCTTGTGTACAAAAAAGGTAATGTTTGACCTTGAAATGGGTTAAGTACACAAGTCTTCCAATTGATCTTCTATATATAGATTGATCCTTAATAGGGTCACCATCATTGAGGCTAAGTTTTCAATTGGGATCCATAGGTTGTGTTTGCTACCTAAGAAACCAATATCAGCAAGCAAGGATAAGGTATATTTTCTCTAACTCAAGGAAATACCCTTGTTAATTAGATTTGGAAATTTCTAAGCCTAAGAAGTATTAAAGAGGACCAAGGATCTTTAGTTTGAACAAGGATTGCAAAGTCAATTGTACCTTATTAACACAAGAAGAAGAATCATGGCTTACTAGGATGATTTCATCTATATAAACCAACAAAATGACCAATGAAGAACCAAAACCATAACTGAACAGGGAGTAGTCATTTTTAGACTATTCAAAACCATGTTGCAGTAATGTTGATGAGAACTTGCAGAATCGTTGTCTAGAGGCTTACCTAACTCCACATATAGACTTACAAACTAACCTTTTTGTGTTTGTTTTGTAACCTTGGGGAAGATCCCCTGTATACTTCCTCAAATAACTCTCCATTTAAGAATGTATAATTGATGTCTAGTTGCTATAGGCACCAATTATTTGCAGCAACAATGACCAATAAGACCCTTAGAAAAGTAAAATTGCCCACTAGTTAGAAAGTGTCCAAGAAATCAATTCCAACCTACTAAGTGTAGCCTTTGGCTACCAACTAAGCTTTGTATTTGTCTATTGAACCATCAGCATTGAGTTTCAACTTGAAAACTCATCTGTACCCTATGCAATGTTTGTCTTCAAGTAAAAGTACTATAGACCAAGTGTCATTGTCTTCCAAAGCCTTAATCTCTTGAGCCATAACATCTCTCCATTTAGGGTAGGAATTACCTGATGATAGAACTGAGGCTCATAAGTAGTGAAATCTTGATTGATAAAAGTTTTGTAATCTGGATTGAGTTTGTCTAAAGAGTAAAATTTCTGAATGGGATAATGGTGTGAGGTATTGGAGTACACATAATCAGACAAATAAGAGGGTTTTTTTAGAAACTCTAGCTGATCTCTAAACAAGGACTTCAAGATCATCA